TTATCACATACATCAAAGTTTTTCATCTAACACTTGAGCTATTATTTATTACTATTTATTGAAGTGTTAGTCTCTCTTAGTACTTAATTCATTTATATCATTTATTAAGAAAGATTTTCATTGTAAAATTATTTACTCTAAACTATGAGTCGTATTGAGGTCCCGTGAAAGCTCAATAGTATAATGATCGATGCTACTTGTTGTAAGTCACCATGTGGGTCATTCTGATGTCCAGTAAAGCTCAATAGTGTGTGTCATATTGAGGTCCCATAAGGCTCAATATTGTATAAGGATTGATACTTCTTGTTTGTAAATCATCGAAAGCGTTGCAAACGATTGGATTGTACCATAAATCAATCAATATACTGAAAAGGCCTTACTTGTGCATGAGAGCTTGTTAACGGAGAACGTAGATCATTATTTTGGATAAAATCTCCACAATTATATCGTTTGCATCATTTTTTCCCTTTTACTTATCGCTTTCATATTTGCGCTTATTATTTAAATCAATCTATTTAATCTTTACTTGCTTAAATTTAGATTAAATCTTCGAAAATGTTTTAAATACCAATTCATTCCATCTTCATTAGTTATTCTTAGGCTATCAAGATGTGATGGAAATTGTTTGAACTCAAGACTTGGTGCTTTTTGAATAGATGGTAGTGTTTTTGTATATCTTGTACTAAGTTCTTGAAATTGTATTCTCCATTTGTAGGGCAGAGTAGCTTCTAAAATGTAGGCAATCCGACTTATTTCTTAAACTATTGATTTTTCACCTTGTGAATGCACAAGAAGAGTCTCCAAGCAATCTTGAGAGTAGTCAAGAATGTATGCTTCATTAACAGCCATATCTACCGAATTAATTCACAGATAGCTATTTGATTCTGTAGGATATTTGATAGCATTGAAGACGTCGAATGTCACATGCTCATCATTCAACAGTAGCATCAATTGTCCCTTCTAAACATCTATCAACGCCTAACATGTTACAAAGAATGGTCTCCCCCATATCAATGGTGCATCCTTGTCCTTGTCCTCGTCCATCGTGTCCAAAATAACAAAGTCCTTAGGGTAGATAAATTTATCTACCTTCACCATTATGTCTTTGATATTTACCCTTGGGAATTTTATAGAGCCATCAGTAAGCTGCAAAGAGATTGATGTTGCATTTGTCTTCCCCAAATTTAGTTCCCTGAAAATAGAATAAGGTATAAGGTTAACGTTTGCACCTCAATCACAAAAGACTTTATCAAATTTCATATCACCAATGGTACAAGGAATAGTAAAACTCCCTCGATACTTTAGTTTAGGTGCAATTTAATTTGTAGAATGGCATTTCCATTCTTCATTCAACATCACTGTTCCCAAATCCTCCAACTTTTTATTTGTAAGAATCTCTTTCATGAATTTAGAGCAGCTGCACATTTGTGCAAGTCCATCCACAAATGGTATATTGATCTGCATTTTCTTGAATACCTCAAGGAATTTCGAGAACTGCTTGTCTAATTTCTGCTTCTTTAGCCTTCGTAGAAACGGTAGTGGTGGCACAAATTCTTTGGTAGGAGCAATTACCTTAACCTTTCGATCCTCTGATGATTTTTTGTCTTTGATTTTTTGTTATGTTCAGATTCCTCCAAGTGCTCTCCAACCATGGTGGGTACCTTTTCTTATGTAGCAACTTGTCTCTTTACATTAATTTTTGGTAGTTGAACTCCACTGCGGATAATTATAGCCTTGCAATGCTCTTTAGAATTTATTTCAGTGTCACTAAGCAATGCTCCTTGTAGTCTCTTTGAAAGTGCCTAACTATCTATCCCATTTAATTTCCCAAGTTCTTGATAGTAACTCTCTGAACTTGTAAGCTTTTATCTGTTCTTTGCATATGTTGGGTTGATATCTTCGTAAGTTTAGTCACAAGATCTTCTAATAAAGACTTCTTTTCATTTTGTTTAAAACCTAGTGGTACAATCTATTGTGGGATGGTCTGGGCTCTCTAATTGTTGCTTTATTGAACCTTGGGTGGTTTCTCCAACTTGGGTAGTAAGTGTTAGGATTTTGATTGTGCTGTTGTGTTTGAAAATTTTGAGTATAGTTTACGTTCTCCACTCTCTGAGCAAAGTGATTACTTTCTATGCAATTAATACTCTCATGATTCCCTTTACAATTCTTATATTTTGGTCCCACTGCTTGGGCTGCATTCATCTGATCTATCTTCTATACCAATTATGCCAACTGTGATAATTGCTGTCAAAAAATCAACTTTGAATATTTGAGCAATTTTCTTTCCACTCGTCCTTTTAGTAGTCTAAAGTGCACTGGTAAATGTCAAATCCTCCATGATTTGATAGACCTGATCCGCAATTCTTTTTGTGATAGAACCATTGCACACAGAGTCTACGTTCTTTTGTCAGATTCAGACTAATATTGTGGGCATTGGCGGTGCAAACTCTTGTATCGTTCCCAAGCTTCTGAATAACATCGTGAGTCCTATTGTTGGAATGTGGTTATCCCATCCCTCAGCTTTGCTATCCTCTTCGATGAGAAATATTTGCTTAAACACTTCTGACTCAAGCTGTTACAAGAAGTGATGCTTTGAGGTGGGAAAGTATCTAACAATTCCCTTGCTGAGTCTTTCAATGCGTATGGGAAGAACCTCAATCCGATGGTTTCACTAGATATCCCTGGATACTCGATAGTTGTACACATGTCCAAAAATCTTGATATATGAGCAATGGAATTCTTCGTAGATATTTTAAAGAAATGTAGCGCGTTCTTTTATTGGAGGACAAATAATGTTTAAATTTAGGAATGTTTGATAAGTGTATTTTATAGATGTATTTAGACCTTTAATTATAAAATACACTTATCTAGAACTTTAAAAATAGACATTTAGTAGTATTTTTGACGAATTAGAGCTTCATCTTGTATATTTATTATTTTCTAGGTAAAATTGAATGATTAGAAGTGAAATTGTAAAAAGAGAACGAAAAATCATTGAAAAAGGATATTTTCGAAGTTTGAAGACCAAATTATAAGTTTTCAATAGTTGATTTGGACCACATATCGATAAGTGGTGAAGAATGTGAAGAGTCAATTAGATGAGAATAAAAGACAAATGAGTGAAATTGTACAAAAAATGACCAATTCATACCTTGGAAGAAGTTCACAAATTGGTCCCAAACTTGACCATGCCATGCGTGCACTAGTGCGTGCGAAAGGCACAATTTTGCATATCCCGAAATTAGAGGAGCTGAACCATTCACACGCATGGGGGTCAAAATTTTGTCAGATGGACAGTTTCCTTCTATGACTTAAAACACTTTTTGGTAACAACTTTGGACGTCGTACCTGACCTAAATTCGATGACTAGCTATAAGTACATAACGATGGGCTAAACATTGGGGGATCTCTCTCACCTATCCTATCAATTTATATCATAAAATCTTTCAAGAATGAGGGGTCATTTCATCATAAGTTGGAGAGGAGAACGAATCTAATAAGGAATGAATTAAGAAACATCAAGAATTTGAAGAATTAAAACTTGGGATTGAAGACCAAGAACAATGCATATATATATATATATATA